CATTAAGACTGTAATTCATAGCATATATTCACAACACATTCAATGAAGTATTGCAAAAAAATTGTGCTATGAATCACAGTCTTAATGTATAAAAACATAACTGTTTTTTGCTGCAACTCACACATATGTTAAACTGTTATCATTTTATAATTAATTAAAAATTATACTTACTATAACATTAGAGTATATAACATGCCTGGGTACAAGGTGTCCAGGTTTCCCAATTTATCGGCCAATGAAAAGTCTGACTACACGTGCAGTATATGTGAGAACATACTCAACTGCCCGATGACTACGCCGTGTTGTCTGCAAACATTCTGTGAGGACTGTATCACCAATTGGCTACAAAACAACACTACCTGTCCTTATGATAGAAAAACGCTGACTGTTGATAGACTAAGTCGAGCATCGAGGTATATTTGTTTTTATATTTTATATTATTATTATTTCATAATTGTAATATTACTTGTAAATAAAATAAAATAAAGTATTCGAGCGTTAATATTAATATAGTAAGTTATAATGATATTTTTATTAACCCCTTAATAAGTAATCTTATTCCTTTAATTTTTAAGTTAACATAAAAAATTATATGTAAATTATTTAATTTTTACTTACGCTAGTGTACTAGTGAATAATTTAGAAAATTTAAACATTAATTGCGAGTTTTGGGATAATGGCTGCCAGGAAGTGATCAAGTTAGAGGATCTCATTCAACACACTACCATCTGTGAGCACAATGAGGCAAAACGTCCGAAAACGTGTGACGTATGCTATTGTTATAAAACACGTGATCACGACTGCGTAAAAGCACTACTCGTAGCCAAGTGTAGCGCGAATATCGAAATAGATTTCTTACGAAAAACGGTGACAAACATGGAAAGTGAGAAAGATCAGTTTTTGAAAACCATCCAACAAATTTCAAATGATAATGGTGATGAAATGTTGGGACAAATAAAACAATTACGTATTAATAATGAAAAACTACGAGTGTTAATAATGTCTGGATTATTGTATGATGTAAACACTAAATCTTTTAATTTTATAAATTTATTTTTAATTAATTTAATTATTTTATTTTTCAAGGACGATGCCAAAATGAAATTATTAAAATTATTATTAAGCATGGTGATTGACGAGAATTGCAAAAATAAAGACGATGGTATTATGAATTTTATAGATATAATTTTACAAATAATTTATATGAGTTATGATCACTAGTTTTAGATATTTTGAATGAACTGGCACATAATAAATATGTGAGGCAAATATCGCGAGATTTTAATACTATTGTCAAATTGCTCTCGGTTATTGATAAAACAATTCTCATTAATACGTGCAATACGGTATTGGTTAAAATTTGGAAAATATTGTTTAGTTTTACAGGTATAATAATTACATTGTCCAATATACAGTGTGTTTCACCATGAACCGCTGCCTTTTAATTGCAATATCTCAAAAACTAAATTAGATAGAAGGGTACTCTCGACGGTTTCTAAAACTAGAAAGTAT